TTGACTATATCAGGTAATGTTCGGTAACTTTTGATACAAATGATTTATTTGTGAAAAGAGAAAACAATACGTTTCTTTATTAACGAATTAAGTAGGAGGGGTTTCATGATTTTAAAATCTAATGGGTATGTCTCTTTTGACTCATGAAAAGTCCCGTAACATAGAAATTTCCGTGTCGTAAAGTAAAATATTTTAAAATAAAGATATCATATATATATATATATATATATATATATATATATATATATATATATATGGAATAAATTATGACCATGGAATATTAGTTTAAGCCTTTTATTATATCCTTACTCTGTCCTGGGCATTGAGTTCTACCTGGATTCTATCCTCTCAGAATTTTTTATTCAAAAATATATATATATGTGTATGCACCTATGTATATATATCTATATATTTTGCATATGTATGTGTATATTTACCAGTAATATTATCTATCTATCTATCTATCTATCTATCTATCTATCTATCTATATATATATATATATATATATATATATATATATGCTATAAATAATTTATATAAAGCGGTAAGCTGTTTCGAAAGTACATTGATTTTGTCTAATAATTCTGTGGAAAGTCACCCTTTCGGATTTTATATGTTTTTGTTAATTGTTAAAGGTTTAGACACAAAGAGCTGGAAACCTTTCCGCATCTCATAATCAAAAGTTCGTAAATTATTAAATAGCCTGCTTCCCGTTTTGTACATGTCAGATATTTAAAAAAAAAAAAAATGAGACAAAAAAAAAAGTAAGCACTGGGTTTTCAAGTTACTAAATTATATCCTATCCTTCATATGAATTATTCAGTTTTTCCCAGCTAGGTATTGACAAAAATCTTTCTTTTATTATATCTTATATATATATTGAACAATAAAAAAATATTAAAAAATTAAAATCTTCAGACACACTGGGTTGTAGATTAATATTCTTTCGTTTTTTTTTTTTATTATTATTTCATTTAGATTCCTCGACTAGTTTCGGCCAAAATGGCCATCATCAGGAGAAGAAATATTTCTGCTTGCTGGTAGCAGTAAACTGCTGAAATGAATGTCTTGATGGAGAAAATGAACTTTTGTCTGTAGTTTTCATTTGTTCATATATATATATATATAAATGAAAATAGGAAAACTGTAATAGTTGCCGACGGATTAACAGTAAGAAAATAGCGTTCTCTAAATTCTTCCAGTTGCTAAGGACATTTTGTTTTTGTTATTATTAGTTACTTTGTTTAAATAAATTCATTTCGTTTTTTTCTTGGCCTAGGCAATCTGGGCATCAAGCACTTTATTAAGTAGGTAAATTCGCCTTTAGTCATTTTTTTCTTTTTCTTTTCTTTTTTTTAGTGTGGTTGGTTTTATTCGAGACTGTATCGGGATAAGTGTTTTCGATTTTGGCAAGTTGTCCGTTGGTTCCATCAACGGTTTTTGTTGTTCTTTAATATATATATATATATATATGTATGTGTGTGTGTGTTTGTGTGTGTGTGTGTGTGTGAGAGAGAGAGAGAGAGAGCGTGTGTGTGCGTGCGTGTGAGTAAATTGTTTTCAGATAGTGCAGGTAAAGCAAAAAAAATAAATAAAAAGACAAGAGGAAAACTTCGCGTTTCGTCATCCATGTGACTTTATGAAGGCAAATATAGCGATTATTTTGTTGCATGTTTTTATACACAAGAGCAATTGTCATTGGTTTATCAAGGCTTTTAAATTTGACAACGTTCATTAAATATTCATCAGGGATTAGGTTTGGTTTGTTTTACAGCCTATCAACATCAGTGGGTTAAATAATGCCGACATTTTTTATTGCATTTCCCAAAAATGTATTACCGCTAATATTTTTTCTTTCAAAAATCTAATTCTGCTAATATTTTTTCAAAAAATGTATAACTGGTAATACTGTTTTTTTCAAAAATATATTGCTAGTAATAATTTTTTAAGTGAAGTATTTGTAGTGTTAAAATGTATATTTACATTTTCACAGTGTTTTGACCCCAGTTTGTGGGTGAACTATTTACCCATAGTTGGGACCCTAACAGGTGCTACCACCCCGGGTCAGGGTGGACCTGGGAACATAACCAATTAAGAGGTGCTTCTACGTTCCTCCAAACCTCCTGATCAGAGGCCTTACTGTTGGATGTTGTTTATCGTCTTACCCAGGATGATCATCATGTGTTTAAAAGGTGGAGGACACAAAGTACCACAATTCAGTCTGGTAGGACAAAAGAAATATGTAATTTTTTTTAATAAATGAAAACTGTCTAAATTGTGATCAAATTGTTATGCTTTTGGATGAACGTATGTACTGTACATCTTCAATAACATGAACCAATGTCGTTAACGTGTTCTTTTTTTTTTTTTTTTTTTGATTTTTCAACAATTTTGTCGTATCTTTGAATGTTTTTGTCTTGTATATCAGCTTGGGAAAATGGTAATTCTTTCAGTAATGGTGAGATGGAACGCACACGCATGCGCACACATATATATATATGTGTATGTGTGTGTGTGTATATATATATATGTATATTTATATATATATATATACATTTAAAATTTGTGTATTTAGTCAGCAATCCTTCATTTTCATTGAATACGACAGACAAGGTGCTTTTATTTAGTTTTTTATACAATTTCTCATGCGATCTAATAATTTTTTTTCTTTTCGGATGATAAATTATATAAAAACTGTCCGAATGTTCTTTCTATCCGAGCGCTTTCGGCCATTTATTTAGCCATTTTCAAGGATTAAATATTTTAACTGTTAAATAAGAAATAGTTTGTTTATGTATGTTTTTATAAAATGTTTTCATTTTTCAAAACAAATGTCAACGATATTGTGTCCATTCGCCTATTTTTTTAATATTATTAAATGTTTTTTTTTTTTCTGTTATTAATAAGCCATCCATTATTTTCATCAGAAAATGTAAAAAAAAAATCATTAGATCCATGAGAAATTGTATAAAAAAATAAATAAAAGCACCTTGTCTGTCGTATTCAATGAAATGTGCATATATATATATATATATATATATATAGCTGCTCTTCATGAGGGTGAAAGGATCTCTCTGCGCTTTTGTTAGCAATCCTTTTAGTGTTGGTTTCACGATAAAAAAAAGACTTCAGATTGGAAGGAAAACTCATGGCAGCTTAACCCCATCATTGTATTGCATGTGTCTGCCGAGAGGCGTGTACTGGCTGGTATTGACTGTGATCCAGAGAGGTTAAACTCCGCGATAATAACACACTAGGACTATCGTTCGGAGTTTCCGTGGTAAGTTTTTTGCCCCATTACTTTTTTTTTTATAGACAGATCCAAAAATTGTGGATGATCCTACATAAACCTTCACCACTTGAAACAAATCATTGCGTTGGTTTTCTGACAGCTACATCTAATTAGTTCCACACATATCCAGCTACTGAGAAAAAATCTACGAAAAAATTCAACTTCATCTTGGCTCTTGGAATGTACGAACACTCCTGGACAACAACTCAGCACCAGAAAGAAAAACAGCGCTGGTTGCATTGGAGATAAGGAAGTACAACATTGATATAACTGCACTGAGAAGTAAGAATCAGTCGACTACATGAAACGAGAAAGCAAAAGAAGTCATCTAACAGTGTTCCTACTGCACTTGGATAGAATACATTCTCCAGTATTATTTGTGGTCTTTTGTGCAATTCTTGAGCGGGTCTCAAAAGTCATGCCCGTCATAGGAATGCAGATAATTAGTTTGTAGTCGTCAGAACCTCATATGTCGAACTCGATGCGACAGTCCATATATATATATATATATATATATATATATATGAAACGTGTGTGTGTGTCTTAATACGTAGAAAACATGTCTATCTCTAGATATTTACATATATATATATAATGATAATATTATGACAAAACACCACACACATTTTAACACTTATATATATATATATATAAAAATATATATATTTGTGTCGAAGAAATCAATAAGTAACGTTTGGTTGAAATAGCTATTCTGATGAGGTAATTTTAATTTTCTCTATTATTTAATATATATAAATATATATATATATATATATATATATATATTTTTTTTTTTTTTTTTCTCGAACATTTTGGCCTGTAAATATAAAAAATACTGTTTATTATAAACAGAGCAAAAACTTAAATATTTGTAAAGTCCAAAAAAGAACGTATAAACATGAAAAATTTAATAAATAAAGTGCTCAATATCAGAGATTAAGCGTGTGTAAATAGAGTTGAATGAAGAAGTCAACACTTAGAGGCGACAGTCTATTTCATACTAGATGCAATCGTCAGGCCTGTTTCATTTAGATGCAATCGTCAGGCCTGACGAAACATCCATAAAAAAACATTAATAAAAAAATTATAAAAACTGTTATATATATATATATATAACATATATATATATATATATATATATATATATATATATACAAAATGGATTAATTCAGACAATTATTTTAACGTATTTCCTGTTTATAATTTTTTTATGGATACACTTACTTGAGTAAGTGCTCTATTTTTTTAATGAAACATTATAAATTTCATTTATTGGCCTGGATCTTCGAGTAATTTCGTAGAAAATACGTGTCCACCAACAGGAATCGAACCTGTATCCTATACGGAAACCTCATTAAGCCTAACGTCCTCTCCTAAACCGGAAGTTTGCTGTGGATGAACGCTCATAGCACATCAGGCTTAATGACCGTTCCATATCGGATACAGCTACGATTCCTGACAGAAGACGCATATTTTCTACGAAATTACTCGAACATTCAGGGCGGTAAATGTAATTAATACTGTTTAATATTTTGCCAATGTAATGGTGACTTTTCTTTGTTTCTATCTTTCCCTACCCCAGCGCGTTTGTTTACTGCATGCATTGAATGTACACTTGGCGAGTGCATATTAAATAGCCATTTTCACAAATAGCAATTTTGGACTGCTTGATGATAACTTTCAGTTGTGTTCGGTTACTGGTCATAGAAGATTTATTTAGAAATCTATCTATCTATCTATCTATCTATCTATCTATCTAAAAGAATGATTATGTCTGTCTGTATGTATATTTGTTTGTATAACGATCGAGCGCACGGCTTTTTAATAAAAACTCCCTTTACTCCCTCCTTTCAGATTTCGGTGAGCTGAGGAAAAAGACGGAAAGAAATTCGTTCGCCTTAGTTAAAAGAAAACTTTGTGTTTAAAGAGATTGACCGGCGAACTGAAGCAAAAGACAAAACCAATTTGTGAGTCTATGTGAAATTTTCTTTGGACCAAGGTAAACACTATATATAAAATAAAGGTTGTGTCTGTATGCATGTATGTATGCATGTATGTAAGTTTGTATAACGTCCGAGCGCACGTGTTTTTATAAAGAAAAGAATTGTGAAGGACAATCAATGATATATTAAAAACATAATTAAAAGAATGATCAAAAATAAAAGAAATTAATAACGTAAAAAGCATAACAAATAATTAAAATAATGATCAAAAATAAAAGTAATTAATAATGTAAAAAGCATAATATAATAATTAAAATAATGATAAAAAATAAAAGAAATTAATAATGTAAAAAGCATAATAAAATAATTAAAATAATGATCAAAAATAAAAGTAATTAATAATGTAAAAAGCATAATAAAATAATTAAAAGAATGATAAGAATAAAAGAAATTAATAATGTAAAAAGCATAATAAAATAATTAAAAGAATGATAAAAAAATAAAAAATTAACATAAGAAGCATAATAAAAAAACGTAAACAAGAACAATAATAAAACAATCAACCTAAAATCGATCGCTCAGTTACCGAAAATCAGCTCTGAATTGTAAAATACAAAACCTGATAAAACTAAGACATTATTGAATTAGAATTTTTTTTTAATGTCTTTTATGAATAATATATATTATGGTTAAGGATAATATTGTCCAAATCCAAAAGAATTTTCCGACGAAAAATGAATTTTTACAAGAATTTTTTTTTTACACTTTCAATTTCAATAATTTATAAAGTTGTTAAATCTTTTAAAATTCAGTTTCAATGTAGTGTTATTAAGTAAATCTATTTTTACCAATCATAAATCTAAAAACTTATTACAATTTGCAAACAACCAGTATTTAAAAATGAATTTTACATTCTTTCTGTATGTGTATAAACATGCCTTTTTAAAGCTAAATGTGAGTATAAAATAATAATATCTCCCTTTACCCACTCCTTTCAGATTTGGGCGAGCTGAGGAAAAAGACGGAAGGAAATTCACTCACCTTAGCTAAAAGAAAACTTTGAGTTTAAAGAGATTGACCGGCGAGCTGAAGAAAAATCAAAACAAATTCGCGAGCCTATGTGAAATTTTCTTTAGACAAATGAAAACGTTGTTTTTACAGGAATTAGCCGTGGAGAATGGAAAAAGAAAAAAAAGAAAATATCGATTTTATGCGAAATCCTATTTTGATATAAAATGAGGAGAAAAATTAAATCAACAAGAGAGTTCGAATTTATGTGAAAAATTTCCTTTTTGCTCATGTGTCCAGCGTTCAGATTCAATCGCTGATTATATTATGGGCCTTAACAAAGCACTTAGCATTTCAAAGAACTTTATTTCAACTATCAAAGAAAGTTAAGTAATCCTCGTCATTACAATCTATCAATAATCTTCATGGCGTGGTTAAACCAACTGTTCATTTTAATCCCGAAGTTCCAAGCTACTATAAAATCAAACAAGATTTTTAGCAACTCAAGAGAAAGCGAATGCAAGGGTTCCTCAAGGAGAGCTATGGAGGACACCGGAGCACAGAGAGAAAGATTTTTGCAGCCCGAAAGAGCACGAAATTCTTTATATCGGGTAGTTGAAACCTCAGAACAAAGGGAAGATTGTAAGCCGCAAGAACCAGGACGGCTGCAGAAGATCAGAGACATGAAAATCTTTGGAAGGAAAGAGCTAAGCCTGTTGCTCACAGAGCAGCTGAGACTCTTGAGGAAAAACAGGAAAGATTTCAAGTTGCTAGTGCTAAGAGGGCCTCTAGCAAGGCCGTTGAGAGTCATGAGGAAAGAGACGAAAAACTAGAAGCAAACAGAACTAGGTCCACAGTTGAGATTCCTGAGCAAAGAGATGAAAGACTACAAGCCAATAGAAATCGGGGATGTGGCTGCTCATAGATCAACTGAAACTCCTAAACAAAGGCAAGAAAGGTAACAGGTTGGCAGAATTAGGGAACGTAGAAGAGCTGCTCTTACCTGGGAGCAGTGGTACCGTGCTGCCTTTAACTATCACTCGGAGCATGAGATACGCGTCTGAAAAGAAAGTGACAATAAGGCTCTATGTCTAAAGTCTGTGGTAAATGTGAAGCAAGAAAATTGGAGAGTAAACTCATAGAATGCGTTGTTCAAGTGACAAAATCAGGATTCCATTATTGGAAGATCCGCCACAGATTTTGAAACTTTTTCTTTCAGGCACAACTCAAGATTCAAATCTTTTTTTTTTTTTTGGAAAGCATTAGGAGGTACAATTGTGTTTTCAAATGACTTCATTCGGGGATGACATTATTAGGAGCGGTTGTTTCGCGCTCACAGTGGAGAACTTGATGTGAACTGACATGGCACGTGGAACTAGAACAGTCTACCCCAGCGAGAGAAAAAAAAAGGTTCAGTTCTACATTCCAACCACCTGAAGAAGGCCGGAGCGTACAACGGCCGAAATGTTGTGATAAATATGGCAATGAAGATGAGGACAATAGTCCCAATAATGAAAATAGTGTACATAATACCTCATCTCAGAAATATAGACAGATACTGAAGGGTGATAAACATAGCGACAACGATAAGGACAATAGTCCGAATAATGTAAATAATGTACATAATACCTCATCTCAGAAATATAGACAGAAACATTCTGTTCGTTTTGTACATGGTTTTGTGTTTATCTTAATGAAAAAATGCTTCAATTTCCGGCCCGCATTGCGTTGTTGTACTTTTTGTGTTTCTTTTTTATTTTATTTTTAATTTTTTTGCTACTTCTTGGATTAAACTGGATGTATAATCTCTGGCTTGACCGTGCTGTGATAATCCAAATGTATATTCTTTCTATGAAATCGAGTAAATTAACAAGAATTAACTGAACCGATTTTTAACGAACGTTGAGTTTGTTTTTCTAAATTCTCAAATTGTATTATTATGCCTTCAGTTCAGATAATTTAAATTTTTTTCTTCATTTCATGTCCGGTTAATCGAAGTCCGGAAAATAGAGGTGTGAAGGAAGTACTATATATATATGTATATATTTCTTTACTTAATAAATCAAGCGGCCTCTTCATGAATACTAAATAACTCTAAACGCCCGAACTCATATACACCGATGCACAGACTATAAAAATACATTTACTTTAATCTTTTGAGTGGGTGTGGGCGTTTTTCGTTTGTTGAGTGCTCATGATGTATGTGTTTGTCGCACAACCGGATACATTATACAAACATCTACAAGAATGTTATATTAACCTCCCAAGATATTTTGATATACTCTTTTTACAGTGTTTGAAATAATATATATATATATATATATATATATATATATATATATATATATATATATATATATATGTGTGTGTGTGTGTGTATATATTGATGCATGATCATTAAATAATATAAACAAATTTTGTTTATTTATTTTAAGTAAGTTCCTTTCATATTGTCTGATAAGCTTAATAACATTATCATTGAAAGACGAAAGGAAATCCCCATATTGATACATGTTTAAATCCAATCTAAGCTTATATAAACCATTATCAAAGATGACAATTACATTTCAATATATCAAGCAGTACACGGACGAAACAATAATAATAGTCTGTTTTTGTTGCATGAAACATTTCTAAGCAACGACAAACTCGTGTATACGAGACGTGGAAGGAAAATCGCAAGAATGAAAACGAGAAATATTAAGAATGGGAAGCCGTTGGTATATATATATATATATATATATATATATATATATATATATATATATATATATATATATATATATGTTATACACGCGCAATATGTCCATAAGGTTCGTGTGTACTTTAAATAATTTATAACTATAAAGTGCACACGAACTTTATGGACACCTATATATATATATATATATATATATATATATATATATATATATAAAGGTCAAAATTGGCATCGTCCTCCAGGCAGTTACAATTTTATATTGATATCGACAATGTGTCCCATAATAATAACTTTACATAAAATAGTACCTATCAGGAAACCTTTCATGAATTCCTGCCCGCTGACAACCACCTTTTTTCCTAAATGCTGATATCGTCCTGGGTATGACGGCAAACTACATCCGCCTCCTTGGTAAGACGATAAACTACAAACAACAGCAAGGCCTCTGATTAGAAGTTTTTAAAAAGCGTGGAAACACCTCTTAGATGCTGATGTTAGTCAAGTCCACCCTGACCCGTGGTGGTAGCACCTGTTAGGGTCCCAGCTATGGGCAAATAGTTGACACCCAAACTGGGGTCAAAACACTATGAAAATGTAAAAATAGGTTTTAATACATACCAGAAATACTTTAAAAAAAAATTACCAGCAATACATTTTTAGAAAAAAATATTACCAGCTATATTTTATTTTGAAAGAAAATATTAGCAGCAATAAAAAGAAACAAATTGTCGGCATTAAACAACACATTGAGGTTGATATACCGTAAACCAAACCAATCAACCCTAAATGCTAATGTACAGAATAGAGATAAAGTCATTTACAGTTCACCCTACGTAGTGATGTGCAGATGTTTGGTGATGTTTTGTGATGATACACGGGACCAACTTCTTTGATCGTTTGCCGCTTAATACTCAAGTAGAAGGGGGGAGGAGAGGGTCTATAGGACCTAGTACTGAAAAATGTGAGAAAAGAAGACATTTTAAATCTGTAAAAACAGATGAAAGATAATTAAATACTTTATTCAAATTAAATATAAACTAAATATTTTATTTCACTCTATGATTGGATGCCCTCCCAATATGGATATCCGGGGTCATCGTACCCTCTCCCTCACCATTTCAGCA